GTAGCCGGTGTTGCCATCTGTCCATAGGAGAAAGTCTTAAATCCCCGGCCGAAGGCCGGTCACCCAAAAAAAATATTCTATTTAACAAGAGATTCTGTCGCGTAGCCGGTGTTGGTATCTGTCCATAGGAGAAAATCTTAAATCCCCGGCCGAAGGCCGGCTACACAAAAAAATATTCTATTTAGAAGGAGATTCTGTTGCGTAGCCGGTGTTGGCATCTGTCCATAGGAGAAAGTCTTAAATCCCCGGCCGAAGGCCGGTCACCCAAAAAACACCATGCTATTTAAAAGGAGTTTCTGTCATGTGGAAAGATTTTCCTTGTTTTTATAGGGTTCTAAGGCCCATATCTTTTGATCCACAATAGATACAGCCACATATCGCACCATTTTGGAAAGGACAAATCGTGGTCTATCATTTGAGTCTGGGATGGAGAAGGACTATAATGGACCCAAGTTCGACTTTTAGGGAGTTTTTCAAAAAAATCGGGGACCAAAACCAAGTTTTTTGAATATATCTCCAAAATGGTTTGAGATAACCCTATCATATTACCACTCAATGGAAAGGTATTTTTATAACCTTTAAAATGATACCCATATTATATAAACCGGATCCGTAGAACCGGATATAACCGGGTACCCGTACCCGAACTTCCGGGTCAAATAACCGGGTAACCGGGTACGTCCCCCAAGAAAAAAAGATATCCCCATAATTAGGGTAAAAATACCTACCTCTGGAAAAAATTTCAGAAAAATCTGATCGTTTTTACTAAACTAGAGTTGTTCCAAATATTCTTTAAAAAATCCACGCCTTGGTGGATGGTCCTTGAAAAAATATTCTTTAAAAAATCCACGCCTCTGTTGGATGGTCCTTGAAAAAATATTCTTTAAAAAATCCACGCCTTGGATAGATGGTCTTTGAAAAAATATTCTTTAAAAAATCCACGCCTTGGATAGATGGTCTTTGAAAAAATATTCTTTAAAAAATCCACGCCTTGGATGGATGGTCGATTGAAAAAATATTCTTTAAAAAATCCACGCCTTGTTGGATGGTCGATTGAAAAAATATTCTTTAAAAAATCCACGCCTCTGTTGGATGGTCCTTGAAAAAATATTCTTTAAAAAATCCACGCCTCTGTTGGATGGTCCTTGAAAAAATATTCTTTAAAAAATCCACGCCTCTGTTGGATGGTCCTTGAAAAAATATTCTTTAAAAAATCCACGCCTCTGTCTTCAAAAAAATGGTCCTTAAAAAATCCAAAAAAAAACCTATTGTTTAACATTTATTTTCTAAAAAATCCTTTCTAAGGTATGTATGTATGTGCCCGTCTCATGACGTGCATTCACATTCATACCGGTTAATATAACCTTTTTTAATCTCTGCCTATATCATCAATAATTACAACGATTTATTCGAGAACACAATTTAAACCGGTTTCAACATGATCGAACAAAACAAACAAACATCTCACATCACTTGTGATTCACACTCGCTGTAATGAAGACTTACAAAATCATGAACAAGAAAAATTGTTGTTTTCCTTTCCATAAAACTTACCTGGTCCTCGCACAATATATGTCCCAGCCATTGAGGATGTTGTGGTGTTCGAACTGGAACCAGCTCCAGTACCATTACTGGTTTTTGTAAATTTCAACAGCATTGTATTTCGCATTTAAATTCCTGTCCTTTATTCTGTCTGATTGCACTCGATAAGAAAATAAACTAACTGTTGCACGCACACTTTTTCTGTTCAGTCCTGCTCGATTTGGTACTCTCTGATTTTGTTGGGTATTTTTTTGTTTGTCAAAAATTCTCGCTCACTATTCACTTCTTGTAGTTGTTTGTTAGTTAGTTGATGAATATGGCAACACTATGCCGTGTTTTTGTTATTTTTATTTTTCTTTATTTATATTATTGACTTGTTTTCTGCTTTCAAACTTGTTCGTAACAATAACCGATTGATATTTCTTTTTGTATTTCGTTCACACTGTTATTTATATTTTTGTAATGAAAATTATACACAAAAGGAGGGGGAAAGAGAAAGAGAGAGAACAACAAGAAAAACGAGAGAAATTTAAACAAAACAATTTCGAAAGTAATGGCAAAAAATAATAATTGAGGAATAGTAATTACAAAATAAACGATAACTAAAAATAAGGATACAAAATTTAAGGGATAACGAAGAGAAGGGGAATAAGGAAATAAAAATAAATAAATTAAACACCCGAGAGCGACAAAGAAATCTAATAGGAAATAATTTACTATGGAATTGAGGAATAGTGGTAAACAAAGGGGGGGGAAGCAAAATTAATAACAACAAAATATCTCCATATTGTTATTATTGAGTAAGGGTATGGGGGGAGGGTGGTAGAGAGAAAGGCTAACGTATTTTCCTCCCTGGCCAAAGGAATTTTATTAGAAGTTGGTAGGATTCATTTGAATGCCACCTAGGAAATGTATTTTTTACTGCTACTCCTCGTTTTTTCTGCCAGTCCGATCAAAACGAGAAAAAAGCACACACACTCATACATACACGTGAAAATAATAGGCGCACACACAACGTACACGACAGACGATATTAACATTCCTTTGGAAATTTGTAAACGATTTAATTGTCAATCCGTAACACGTTCTCTTGCACCGAATTCATTTGTTAATATAAAATTTATAAAATATTTAATTGTTTTAATATGCTTATGTTGTCCAATTTGCTTTTGTTGTTGTGTTTCTATTGAAAACTCATTGTATATGAAAATTCCTGTCTTCACGCAATTGCAATTGATACGACACATTCAACAACTGGTTCACAGTACAGAGTTGAGCCATGGTCATGTAATAACGTCGTCGATAATGACGATTGTGCGCCACAGTGAGGGAATTCAGACGTTGACATTGTTGCGCGCAATTTTTTGTAATGAATTACAGGAGCGTAGGGTTGTCAATTGTTAATGACAATTTGGACCGAAATTTTGCTTGTTTGATCATGCGTCCATTACTATCCGTCATTTATCAGAAACTCACAGACGTATTCATGGTTAGTGGACAGTAAGAAATAAAAAAGTGGCAATCAAATAAGACAATGTGAACTCGCATTAAGCCGTGTACACACTTTAACTATTTGAATGACAGTCTTGCCCAATTTTAGCTTCTTTGATAGTTTGGCTCTAATGTCCGTCATTCCTCATACAGCTACGGAAATATTCATGGTTGTTGGGCAGTCAGTAATAGATTCAAAAACTGACAATCAAAAATGAGTGTGTATCCACTCGATCTCAAACATCAATTCCATTGCGTATACGTCACGTTAATCCTTTTCACAAATCCAGTGAATTATATTTGACGTATACGCTATGGAATTGACATTTGAGATCGAGTGGATTTCGTAAATTTAAACGTACCCTAAAAGTGGAAGCTCATAAAGGCGAGTACAAACTATCAGCTTGGACTGTCAGATTCTTTATCGATTTGAACCAAACTGTCATTAAAGAATGATTGGGTGTACCGACATTAAGAACACACAACACTTTTCGATAATAATCAGTTGGTAATATAATAAATATAAAGAACTTTTTTTTTGACTATATCAACCACAGGGAATTTGGAGACAGATGAGTAGTCTTGGCTGAACAGTAAATTATGTAACGAGTCTTTGGTCCTATACTGGGCATGTGGAATGTGTCAAGACATCAATTCTTGTCCAAGAGGAACTAAGACAATCCTGGTCTGAGCTGTGCTAAGAATATAGAAATTGTGCCGGTGCTGCGAATTAGACCATCAACGATGTCTTTTTCTGGTCGTTTTCTTATTAGGTGCTGCATGATGAATATGACCCCTTTCTCTACACACATTGCACCTTAACGACATTTATCTTTGGAGGGTGGGGTGTCCGAAATCCGAAACATTCCAAAAGTGTTCAGAGCAGGCGAAATAAAAAGTCCCTTCATTTACAAAAATACACACACATTTATTTGTTGAGTTGTAAGCCCCAAGTCTGCTACCTTGGAATTGTGGCGGTTTAGTCTGAGAACGTCAAGGCTGAAGTTTGGTGAAGTTTGCCAAATATGTGGTGCTGACCTTCTCCACTACCTTTGAGGTGTGCGGGAAATATTTCAGCAAAGAATTATCCTATCCAACCGTTATGATACTCAAAGTGCATTGCGTATACAAATAGAGTATAGCATTATTGCAGCCATTAAGTCAATGAGTCCGGAGCTTATTTTAAAGTCTATACCCCTTATCCAATGCCAATGGTGGTGTGGTATTGGAGCTACCTTTAACATTTTCAAAGTTTAGCCTTCGATTGCAAAATAGCGCATACCTATGAATTGTTGTGTTGTCAATTATGTATGGGGTCTATTTTGTCGGGTCTAGTTACAAGAAAACTTTAGATTGATTGCTCCTACATTGGGTAAAGCATTCAATAATAATCCTTAATTTAGGGCGCCCATATTTGATGGTCTCATCGAATTAATTCAAAATGAGGAGCAGAATGTGGTCAATGAACTCTTGGGAAAATATGGCAACAACTTTTTGCCTCAACTCTGTGGAACATTATTTTAAATTTATTTGGAACTGACTAGGGGCAAAAATCTTGCACTATTAACATTTTTCTATACAAATTTTAAACGCAGTAGTTCTAATAATTTTTTTTATAAATTAATTATTTTCAATAAAGAATTTTTTCCATTATTATGTTAAAGGGAGTTGCTCTATCTAATATTTTTGTATTATAATATTTTCAATTAAAAAATACTTCAAAAATTTGCAACCAATGTACTTTTACGAAAATATACCTATTTTCGATCTAGTGAACCCTGGTTTAAATACATATGTTGCAATTAACACACTGTGAATGCCTTCACAATAGCCAATAAGAAGAAGCATATGTCAAAAAAGATTTGTTGTGCTGTGCGCACGTGTTTGTTGCATTCATTAGAATAAAAAACGTCTTCCAAGGAAATTATACATCGAAATTCAACGGTTTTTCAATAAATAATCACAAAGAAAATGGGAAAATTTCGTTCAAAACTAAAGCGCCATTCCAAGGGGAAAAATTGGAGCAAAGGACATTCGTCCACCTCAAATCCCGAGCAGATGAAACATCGTCTCAAGGCAAAGTCGAGATTTTTTCAACCAAATTTGAGTTTGGGTAGGGGAAAATTATTCAGTGATTGAAATATATTATTAAATGCATTTTTATTTATTTTCAGCCCCCAAAGAGGAGGAGAAAAATCCCAACTCTCTGACATTGGAAGCCGTGTTAAAACATGAACAACGTTTGGCTTATAATGCCGAAACGACAACAGTTAATGATGTTGCTGGTAGTTTGAAATCGTTCAGCATAACCGATGAAGATGAAGACTTAATGTCCGAGTCACAGGGTGGTGGCACCTTTAAGACATTTAAAACATTTGCCTCCAACTACAGTACTTGTAGTAATATGAGTTTTAAAAAACTGTTGATTGGCTTTCGGGCCTCTTCGGATTTACACAAAGAAATGTTGGCTATTTTAACCGCACTCACGGAAATCATTAAAGAACGTGGCGGCACTGAATCATCAACAGAATATTTCCTCTTGTTGATGGAACAAATTGAAGCCAGTACTGAGGATAAAGATATTATAGCGGGAATTTCTTTATTGGGTATGGGGATCAAATCGGTACCGGCTGCTGTTTTAAGAAAACGTTTCAGTGAAACTGCCCAGACACTGATGTCGTGTATGCAGCGTTTCATCGATTCACCCAATCAGAATATAATGAAATATGTAAGTTGATTAGGAGGAGGATTGAGGATGGGATTTATTACAATTTAATTTTTGTTTGTTTTGTAGATAATTGGCTGCTTATCGGTATTGCTAAGGGCCCAGGATTACATGACCTGGACATATTCCTCCACCTGGCAGTATATTGATACTTTACTATCATTTTGCATACATTCTAAGCCAAAGGTGGGTCAACAAATATTAATTTTTTGTTATTTAAAAATAAACCCATTATTTCTCATTAGATCCGCAAAGCAGCCCAACATGCCATTGTCTCCATTATACATGGCAGTTCATTTATGTTACCACCCAAACCCAAAGATGATGAGGCAGAAGATGGCGAACCCGAAACCCAACCCGAACAGCCACAAATTAAAGCCCATCCAGCCAGTAATCGTGTAACCAAATTCTGTCTCAATCAATTTAAGCCGGAAGTTTTGGCCCAACAACAAACCACAGTTTTGCATACCCTGTCACTGTTAAAAGAAACCATTAGCGGTTTTAAAACCGATGATATTCGTAATGTCTGCGAACATCTGCTATCGATTATGACGGCATCTAATATTTTGGTACGCACAAATTGCCTTCAGACTTTACACGCCCTCTTCCTTTCACGCACCACAAATTTGAATGGTGTCATGTGTGCCAAACTACTGGCAGCCATACATGAATATCGTCCCGATCGTTCCGATTTTAGGCAAACTCTTGCCTGGATTACCGTACTCAAGGAGGGTCATGTTCATTTGGCCCAATTGGATTTGAATTTGTGTGTTAATGCTTTACCCCGCCTGGTGGAGATTTTAAGTGGCGATCTCTGGCTTTCGGATCGAAGTGAAATAATTAATGGTGTCTCAAATGCCATTAAGGAGCTGCTGTATGAATGTGTCAAGCCTGCCTGTGAGACAGAAGAATTGGCCAACATTTACCGAGTGGCCATCACGAAAATCATTGCCTCCGTGCACAAAGTACTGAGTGCTCCCTTTGGTGAAGTTGCCAAATATGTGGTGCTGACCTTCTCCATAATCTTTGAGGTGTGCGGAAAATATTTCAGCAAAGAATTATCCCCATCCCTGGTGGAGTTGGCCAAACGTTATGATACCCAAAGTGCATTGCGTATACAAATTGAACACAGCATTATTGCGGCCATTAAATCAATGGGTCCGGAGCATGTTTTAAAATCCATACCCCTAACCAATGCCAAGGGTGATGTGGTATTGGAAAAGTCATGGCTTTTGCCATTATTGCGCGAGGGTGCCACAGGAGCTACATTTAAATTTTTTAAAGAAGTTATTTTAGCCTTGGCCTTGGACTGCAATGTCAAATGGCATAAATTTGCCGAAGAAAAAGATGTACCCATGGCCCATACCTATGAATTGTTGTGTTGCCAATTATGGGGTCTGTTTCCTGGTTTTTGTCGTGTACCCAGAGATCCAGAAAACTTTAGACTGATCGCCCCCACATTGGGTAATGCATTGGATAATAATCCTGAATTTAGGGCTCCAATATTTGATGGTCTCATTGAGCTGATACAAAATGAGGAACAAACAGTGGTCCATGAGCTCTTGGGAAAATATGCCAAAAACTTTTTGCCACGACTCTTTAATATCTATACACAGAAGCCGAATGGTACCTATGAACAGGACTTGCGTAAGAAATCATTGGAAGTTATTAAGGTAGGTCCACCCAAATTAATTTTTAAAAGCTAAATTAATATTTTTCTTCGATCCTTTTCAGCTCTATTTGACCAAAACCCCTGGTGATATGCTCAAAGAACTCTATGAAACAGCCTATAAACAATTGCAAGCCACACCTCAGTGGGAACATTTGAATATGATTCGATTTTTGATATAACAGCCGCCTTGGTTCTATTCCAAACCTGTGAAGTGATACGTGAATTCTTTGAGAGCTATATTGTCCCAGTGCTAATGAAAGCTGAAAAATCCAAATTGGTTACCAAGGATGAACAGAAACTGAAGAAGCAACAACGCAAGACCTATGAGTAAGATTTCAGATTGAAATTCAATGTTAAGTTGTATTCATTTTTCTCATTCAATTCTCTAGGTTATTGCGTGATATTCTCACCTCAGAGGCTGCTTCATGTCAAAAATTCACAAGGAAAAATTTGGTACCCTTGCAGAAGGTACTCATTGAGGCCTTTACCACCAGTTGTGCTGTGTGTCAGGCAGCACGTTTGAAGTAAGATTTTTAATAACAAAAAATTTCAGGTCGATGATAAAGATTTCATTTTTATTATTTTCATTTTTTCCAGGTGCCTGAAAATCCTCATTGAAACCCGTAAAGGTCTCACCTATAGCGATAAAATTGTCACCAAGACCCTGCCCGAAGCCATACTCAATTACAAAGAATTTTCAACACGCAAAGAAAATGTTTCAGAAGAAATTCTTAAACTTATTTTAAATCTCTATCAGGAGGCAGAAAAACTCAATGATTTTGTAGATATCTTAACTGCTGGCTTTGCTGGCGATGAATCGCTAATCACCAATACCATATTGGCATTCCGTACAGTATTGGCAACACATGGCAAACATTTAACTGTTAGTACATTGGAATTTATTATGGAACAGATTGCGGTATTTTTGGTACAAAAATCCAGATCTCAGGCAGAGGCCTCAGTGGCTTTCCTCATCACATTCATTAAGGTTATGCCCACACCATTGGTGGCCAATCATTTGGAGACAATTGTAAGTCTATTATTGAAATAAAATGAGATTTTTTTTAATTAAATTCCCCATAATTCCTTTACAGATGAAATCTCTTTCGGCCATGGTCAAGGATACCAAACGTTATTGTCGCATACAAATCGGTTATTTGTTGAAGAAACTCTGCAAACGATTTACCGCGGAAGATTTAATTAAATTTGTACCCGGTGATGATGAGGTGACACATCGTCGCCTCAGAAAGATTCGCAAGCAGCTGAGACGTGATAATCGTAAGAAACAATCCGAAGAGGCTGGCAAAGACAGTGATGATGAGGCTTCGGAAGAAGAGTTTGTCAGTGGTCTGGAGAAGAAGAGTGTTACGTAGGTTTCCCCCTCTTGGAATAGAATATTTTTATTAATTATTTTTGTTTTTCATTCTACAGAATTGATGACATTTTGGCTGACTCTGATTCTGATTTACCCGAAGATATGGATGAAGATGACACACCCGCCCATGATAAATCGAAATCGAAAAAAGATCGCGACACCTATATACGTGAAGATCCTGAGGATATTGTGGATTTGGCAGATATAAAATCAATTGGAAATGTTTTAAGTAGGTTCAAGACGAACTTTTGTTATTGTATATTTAATTAATTTATTATTTATTTTTTGTATAGCACCCATATATACATATATATATATATATATATATATATCAGAATAATATGTATTTATATATACATATATATACATATATATATGACCATATATATATATACATATATACATATATATAAATATATACGTACATATACACATATTAATTATTTATTTTTTGTATAGCCAACCGCCCCTCAGTTGCCTCGGAGAAATCTGGTAGCAGAACAAAATCCAAAGATCCCAATCGTGGCTTTAAGGTCGCCGAAGATGGCCGCCTTATTATCGATGACAAAGCCTTACGTGGTGCTGGCGGTGACAGTGATTCCGATGATGATAGTGATGATGATGACATGGATGATGAAATGGATGGCTCAAAGACAGCGGTAAAACGTGGCATGGAAGAAGATTCCAGTGATGGTGAGTTAAATGGAAAATACGTTACGATACGTTACCACATCACCTAGGATGTTTGGTATTGAAAAATATCGCAATATTTAACATAGAGCTTTTAATATTTGCCCATATATTACAATAGATGTATGGTATTGAAAATGAGCTATATCGGTCCACATTTTGGTATAGCCCTCATATAACGGTACATCCAATATTCGGAATTTTGAAAATTTCAGAGAAGTTTTCTAACCAAATTGGCTCTAATTTGATAATTTCTTCCCAAAAAATATAAAAATTGACCAAAAATTATAAACATTTGCCAAAATTTAGGATTAGGCCCCATATAACGGTATCCCCTATTTTCGGTGTTTGGAGTTTTTAAGACAAGTTTTTCAATCGAATTGGCTGCAATTTGGTATTTTGGGTTCTATTTGGGTAGCAAATCTTCCTACTAAAAATTATCAACATTTGCCAAAATTTAGGGTTAGGCCCCATATAACGATACTCCCGGTTTTCGTTATTTGGAGGTTTTCTGACACGTTTTTCAACCAAATTGACTATAATTTGATATTCTGGGTTCTCATTGGATTGTTATCCAATCTTCCTACCCAGTATTATAAATATTGACTCCAGTTTTGGTATAACCCCCATATAAATGTACCCCCGATTTTCGGTATTTTGGGCACGTTTTTCAGTCGAATTGGCTGTAATTTGGAAATTTGGGTTCTCGTTGATTGAGTAGCAAATCTTCCTATCAAAAATTATCAACATTGGCCTAAATTTAGGGTTAGCCCTCATATAACGGTACCCCCGATTTTCGGTATTAGGAAATTTTAAAACACTTTTTTCAGTCGTATTGACTGCAATTCGGTATTTTGAGTTCCCATTGGCTAGCAAATCTTCCTACCTAAAATTATCAACATTGGCCCAACATTTTGGGTTAGGTCCCATATAACGATACCCCCGGTTTTCGTTATTTGGAGGTTTTTAGACACGTTTTTCAACCGAACTGTCAATAATTTGGTATTCTGGGTTCTCATTGGATAGCAAATCTGCATACTAAAAATTATCAATATCGGTTCACGTTTTGATATAGCCCCCATATAAGGATACCCCCGATTTTCGGTATTTTGGTTACGTTTTTCAGTCGAATTGGCTGTAATTTGGTATTTTCGGGTCTCGTTGAGTAGAAAATCTACTACGTTTCGGTTTAACCAAAATCTGCAAACTTCGAGATACCGCATAACGTGGACCGATATTTGTAATTTTTAGTGGAAACATTTTACACCCAATGAGAACCCATAATACAGCCAAAATCCGTTAAAAAATATAACCAAAATCTCCAAAATTGAAGAATCCGTTATATGGGGGGCCACCATGAAACTTGGTTCGATTTTTATAATTTTTTTAGGAATACTTAACGCCCAATGAGAACCCAAAATACTAAAGAAATCGCTTTTGTAAAAAATAATTTTTTTTAAATTCGATTTTTTATTAAAAAAATTGTTGTTTGTTTAAAAAAATCGATTTTTTTAAATAATTCGATTTTTTATTCCCATTTTTTGCAGAAGAAGAACTGGGCACTGCACCCAATCGCAAACGTAAGGCTGGCGATGCAATGAGTATGCGTTCGGGTAAAACATCTGCCTCACGCTACACAGCCGGTGGCAAGGGTATTCACAGGCCATTGTCGGGTGGTGGCGGCAGTGATGCTGTATCCATGAAATCCGGTTATTCCGCCAAATCTGGTAAATCCTCAAAATCACAACACACTGGATCGGAGTACTCACACAAAAAGGCCAAGGGTGATATGAAGAAGAAGGGTAAATTAGATCCATATGCTTATATACCATTGAGCAGGAATACGCTGAATAAGAGGTGGGTTCAAATCGATTTTTTAAACAACAAATTTAAAAAAAAAATATTATTGTGTTTTTCAGGAAACGCGCCAAACATGCTGGTACATTTAAAAATATTGTTACGGCTGCCCGTAAAGGTGCCCTCAAGGGTGTTAAAAGTAAAGTCGCCAAGGCGTATAAGAAATAATTTGAATGTGGTTTTGAAATGAAACAAAGGCATATTACTACTATTTGTATATTTATTTTGCAATGAAGTCCTGAAAAGAGAAATCTATATAGATTTTATGGCTTTTTTTATAAGGCTATATACTTTTTTCATTATAGTTGAATTATGTTAAAATATTCTTTTTTTGTATTTAATGAAAAAAATAGTTATTTGAATAAACAAGAAAAACATACATACACACTAAACACAAAAAACAATGACCTGAGTACTGAGTAATTGAATTACAAAAAAAAAAAAATTAAATTGAGTCACTTAGAAATAAAATAAATTGGGTTTGAATCTATAATGTTTGAAAAAATGCTATGGCAATTTAAAAAACAAATTGAAAATTAAATTAAAAGAAAATACTTTGGCCTCTAGTAAACAAGTACCACAAAAAACCTGAGTAATTTACGTATATAGGCAAAAGCAAGTATGCAAAATTGTTTTTCGATAATTTCCATGTGAATTTGTTATTGTTGGTCCCTACCATTTAAAATGGAAATTGCTTTTCAATATGATTCCGATGCCATTCGCCTTGGTGGGGATCTTGTGAACGCATTGTTTCCTCAATAAAATGCATACGATTATTAGCATCGATTAGTATGACGGTGTGGGTGCGACTGCCATAGCCACAATCAGGTACATAAACATTTAACGAACTTAAATATTCACCCCAATTGGGTGCCCTACGTTGCAGTTCAGCATCTGGCCAAAATTTCTCTTTACACTTGAGCAGGTGCATTAATTGTTCAACCAATTCCGTTTGGGGGCGTTTTTCATATTCTCCGATAATTTGCTCGAAACGATTACGTCCATAACGTACCTTTTCAAAGGGAGCCGAGGGTAGACTATTGCCGAAGCCATAACAAGAATTCTCCTTGTAGTGTATTAAACCGGGTGGTACATTACTGCAAAGTGTTACCAAGGCTGGTGATGTGGGGGAGCTAAAAAAGAAGGACAAATATATATTTTTTTGATAATAAGGAGAGAATTTGTATACCCAAAACCATGATAAGGGGGAATATTATTATTAAAGTTGCAAAAATTGTCATCGTTTTAAGTTCCGGAGTAGCTCCCATATAATGGAATCTCCAATTCTGACAATTTTGGGTTCTCATTGAGTGTCAGTTCTTCCTTCCAAAAATGGTTAAAATCGGGGCAAGTTTTATGGTAGTCCCCATATAACGGATTTTGGAGATTTTGGTAAATTTTTTGTAACGGATTTGAATGTAATTTGGTATTATGGGTTCCCATTGGGTGTCAAGTCTTCCTACCAAAAATAATCAATATCGGTCCACGTTTCGGAGTGGTCCCAAATATAACGGAATCACGAAAATTTTGTTATCGAATTGGCTGTAATTTGGTATTTTGGGTTCTCATTGTGTGTCAAGTCTTCCTACGAAAAATTGTCAAAATCGGTCCACGTTTCGGGGTAGTCCTCATATAACGGAATGTCGAACTTTGGAGATTTTGGTCAAATTTTTGTAACTAAATTGGCTATAATTTGGTATTTTGGGTTTTTGGCTTGCTTCCAAAAATGATTAAAATCGGTCCACGTTTCGGCGTAGCCCCCATCTAACGGAATCTCCAATTTTGTCGATTTTGGCTAAATTTTTGTAACCGAATTGGCTGTAATTTGGTTCTCATTGGGTGTCAAATCTACCTGCCAAAAATTGTCAATATCGTTCCATTTGTTGGCATAGCCCCCATATAACAGTAACTCCATTATTCTGTATTTTGGTCATAATTTTCAAACGAATTGAGAAACTTGTTCAAGGTCCTATCAAAGTCGAAAGTCGGCATCGATTTTATGTATTTAAAATTTCCACCTCATGATGAAGTGTATAAAAAGTTCGATCTCGCTGAACATAATTATGTTTTTTTATTTTCTTTTGTACTTACCCTATCTCAATGGAGACAAAATTAAAGGCACTATATTTGGTACAATCCTCCACCAGACGTTGATTATAATTGACATTATCGAATTTCGCACCATAATTCCGAACATAATCACTGACCAGCATACCGCGTCCTAACAAAGAGTTATTATTGTGTTGTGTTGTATTTATTGGTGTTGTTGTTGTTGTTATCTGATGTAGATCGATATGATGTTGATGATGATTAAAATCGTCGCTATTAGTTTGTGGTGTTCTTGTTGTTGTACTAATATTATAGTTGTTGGAGGGTGAGGAGGATACCTTATAGCCATTCGTTGGGGTATTATTAGATAAATTGGAAGACTTTTGTTGTGTTTGATGATTAAGAAGGGGTGGATGGGGTGTAAGGTCTACAACTATAAAGTTAATTTTTTTTGAATGATGGAATGGTATGGATGAGGTGAAAAAAGAAAATATATGTGTAGGTCAAACACAACATCCGGTCGGTCCAGCATTTTGTGTGTAGAATAGGAAAAATAAAATTAAGTTAATTTCATAAAAACAATAAGTATTACATAAATAATTAATTAAAGCACAAAAAAATTGTAAGCCAAACAACTACCGCCTCCATCACAAACTTTTAGTGACAAATTTTGTTAAACAATTTTGTTTTCCAAAAAGAAGATACTTTTTCACCAACTTACCCACAGCATTGCGTGGCTTAGGTTCACCCGTCAAATTGAGTAGAGCACCCACTTTGAATATGCCATCCTGGCCAGATATGGCCAACCATGTACCACCTTCACGTCCCGGTTCCATATCAATGCCGCCATAACAATTGTCCACACCCGACCACTGGCAGGCCTCTTTGGTATCACGAGCATAGAATTCATCACGATTGGAGGCCAAAATCAATTTATAGCCATCCTTTTCGGGATTTGAGTTGACATAAAAAAATATCACACACATTTTCTAATTTATTTTAATTTCTTTTAATAATTCACAGCGTTGACATTCACTACTCCTCCCTTTTGTTGTGGGGACCTTTGTTTAAATGCTCACTCTACTATGGCCTTTGTTTGTTTGCTTATTGTACATAAATTATGGGCCTTTTTTCTTTCTTATCGGGAGAGTTATAATTTGCTATCACCACTTATCTAAGCACAGCAGCAGCAGCAGTCCACCACCCAGTCAACCGCCTTGTTTCTAAATCCAAAATGAACGATCTCAGTGCGCTAAATAACATGTAGACAAAATAGCAAAAAACACATGCACACACACACTCCACACAAATGTTGACGTCTGCAGAATTGCAATATTTTGTTTTCCATAAATAAATAAAATGTAAATATAAATTTACACAATATAGTATTCGCTATATTATAATACAAAAAACAACAACAAAAACACATTCAATCACCACCACCACTGCTGCTGTTGATGCCCCCGGCAATGAACTTTTGTTGTTGCTTAGACAAGGAAGAAAATGTAAACAAGATCAGCTGTTTGCCGAAACATGTTCACATTTTAACGCCGGTCGTTATTAGAATGCAGACGCCGGCAAAAATGCTAACATGGCATTTAAATTGGATAATTTTTTAACAAGTAAAATTAATATTTGGACGGATAAAAATATTTTATACTCTCTCCTCTATGGGAGCATATTCGAAATAATTAAAATCGATCAAAAGAAGGACCAACATTTACCTTCCGAACAACGAAATACCAAATTATTAACACTCAGGTTTGAAAATTGGGCTAGCAGCTTCAAAGAAGGGATTTGTCAAAACATGGGCCTATGATTTAGTTCAGGATCGTGCAGAGATATAAGAAAGATTCCGTAGTGTTCGTCCTGAAGCTGTACTTTTTTGAGCCAGAAAAAATTAATGCATAGGGTTTAAGAGAGAATTTCAATCAAAAATTCACTATCAAGTAAATATGTCGTTAAATTTGAACGGATCGGACTTTATATACTCTCCTTGTTGAAACATGAGATACGAAATACCAAGTTATTGACACTCAGTTTTGAAAATTGGGATAGGTGCTTCAAAAAATCTATAATGGGATGACCCGTTTGTAAAGTTATATGTGACATGGGTCCAACATTTAGTTCCGGTTCCGGCAGAAATATAAAGAAAACATCCGTAGTGCTTGTTCGTAAACTGAACTGTAAAATTGTCGGAATGTTGATAATAATATCCGTAGTATCATTACTATTGCTGCGTTCGCTCCATAACTGCTGGACGAATGAAATAAATAGAAACTTAAAAAGTGCGGTTAGATTTACGGAATATAATCGAACTTATGAGTGACGTTGGGGCTGATAGATACCAAGCAACGGCTCTGATTGGTTATAACATGGCGAAGCCCAGGCTTATCTTTGTCCCTCCTTCATCTCAATTGACATCTCACTGACCTCCCCGAGGTGTCACCTGTGGTAACTATTTTTTATCATCCATTGAAATAGTGAGCTGATATGTGTTCACCCATAAAAACTATACAGAATAGGTTGAGGCGTCGGGTTAGTTGCCTACAGTCGGAAAACCCCTCCTACTATGAAAAAGCAACGAAAAACGGATCTAGCTGCTGAGACTACGTTTGTGAGGACATATATATATGTAGACATATAAAAGTAAGCCAAGTGATGATTCACACAGAAAGGGATAGGCAACGAATTCGATGGAAAGATCAAGTAGAAGATAACATCTCGGAACATGGTATCTCAAATTGAATGACACAAGCTAGCTAAGTAAGCACATCCCGTCTATAAAAACTCCATTTCAGCTCGCCTATATAAAGACTTCCTGTTAGATCGTCTATAAAGACTCTATGCTGCTAGTCTTATAAAGACTCCCTCCAGCTCGTATATAAAGACTACTTTCAGCTCCTCTTTATAAATACTCCCTCAGCTCATCCAGCTCCTCTCCAGCTAGTTTATAAAGACTCCCTTCAGCTCGTCTATATAAAGACTCCCTTCAGCTCGTCTATATAAAGACTCCCTTCAGCTCGTCTATATAAAGACTCCCTTCAGCTCGTCTATATAAAGACTCCCTTCAGCTCGTCTATATAAAGACTCCCTTCAGCTCGTCTATATAAAGACTCCCATCAGCTCGTCTATTGAGACTCCCTTCAGCTCGTCTATTGAGACTCCCTCTTCAGCTCGTCTATAAAGACCACCTCTTCAGCTCATCTATAAAGATCTGATCGTCTATAAAAACTCCCTTCAGCTGGTCTATATAAAGACTAATTTCAGATGTTCTATATAAAGGCTCCCTTCAACTGGTCTATATATAGACTCCTTTCAGCTATAAAGACTCCCTTCAGCTTGTCTATAAAAAATCCCTTCAGCTCGCTTATAAAGACTCCCTTCAGCACTTCTAAAATAACTCCCCACAGCTCACTTATGAAGACCCCTTCTCGTTCCTTCCATACTTCCCTTTAACCACCTCTATAAAGTCTCTCTTATTCATTCCCTTATATTCCATTTAAAAAGATTTGCCAAATGTGTACGTTACGTCTCCGACTAATCACACTGCTGTTTGACAACTGTCAACTTATATATCCCTTGCAAATGACCGCTGCAACAACAACAACAAAGTAATCAAAATATTGTATTATCATATGTGTGGATGACAGACAGTTGATTTGTATTTGGCAAAAACAAAACGTCAGTTGTTTTTTAACCGAAAGGGTGGTTGTGGGCGATTGTATCGCCTAAAATCATAAAAAAAAACCTTATGAAATTCGAGAGGAAATATCAAAATTGAAGTGAAAACTTTTATACAAATAAAAAAACCGTTAATAATTTGTGAGACAATTAAATTTATTTGCTATTGGTTGTGAACAACAAAGTAAAGAATATATAATCCAAAAACAACAACAACAAAGAAACATAAGAAAATCCATAAAACCACTTTGGGGATAAATGAAAAAAGTGATGATAAATGTGGTAATGGTGGTGGTTAAGAAAGAATTCATAAATAAGTATAATAATAAGTGAAACAAAACAAATGCGAAACATAAACAAACGACAACATAATTCAGAATTTTGCCGATATTTTATGAATTTTGTATATGGAATGCGTAGAAAGAAAAGTAAAAGCTTGCACTGACCGCCTAAGCCTAAAGTAAAAGAACTTAAACTGGGACATATCAGCCGCAAACAACAACAACAACAACCAAATAAAACACCGCGGAATCAGGTTTTTTCGTCTTTCTTCCCCAACAAAAGAGAAAAAAGAAGAAGCAAAATTATCATTATTGACAATAAAAACAACAACAAAATAATCATAATAATCCAAGTTTTATGATAATTAAGCCAACATTGGCAAACTGAACACAACAAAGAAAGTTTTGGAAGAGAAGGTGGTTTCGAGTCTTTTCTTTGGATTTTAAGTGGATTCATATCAAAAATCAAAAAAGTCAATACGTTGTCGAGTACAGTGTTAAAACATTACGACCTAAATCTCCCATCCCCTCTTTAGCCAGCCCTCCTTCCTCATAGTCATCACCTTCTTCTCCATCGCCATGGAATTTATACAAAACATAACAAAAGGTCTGCTAGAATTTCTGTGTAAGTGGCAATTGCCAAATGGTTAACACGTTTCTTCTTTTTTTGTAATATTTATTTGTTTTTCGCCTCTTTTTAGCTTCATACATTGATTTGGATTATTCACTGTGGCTGTATCGTCTATTGACCCCACTTATTGTAACATTCCTATTGCCGCTGGTATTTGTGGCCTTAATTTATATATCCTTCCTAATATTGTTTATCTACAAATTACACAGGTAAGTAGTTCGCCATGTGCCAATACCCCTATATCCAATTTGTACTCTCCATATCAAGTTTCTAGAATATTGAAAAAAAGTCAAACGTCAGAGTAGCTGCCTGACGACCTACCGCTTAGTTTGCTTTCATATCCAAGTGACTGACATTAGTACCCCAAAACACATTAGGAGGTCATCTTAGTGGCTGGCTATCATTGCCGGTGTTTAAAATAACCGGTATTAGTTATTATAGTTTATTGTTTTTGTTTCAATTCGTTTTTTTGTACGCGATAATATTATGTGTTTTACGTTGTTTGAATTCATTAAGATTGTCGCCGTGGAACATTTTCAATTACTGATAATATTTTTTTCGTTTATAATTGTTAAACCCATATATGGAGGAGATTAATAACCGAAACACAGCAGCATACCTTACCTACCACAACAGCCGTACAATGAATAATATAAATTTGATTTATTATATTATAATTCCGTTTTTGCTTTGCAAAATGAATTTATTTCGAATTTATTCAAATTACATCGGACTATAAGTGTGACATTTCATACTTATTAGGAATGCACATAATCATAAGGAATATTTTTTAAATTTTTATTTAAACAGAAAACTTGAAATTCACTTTATTGCATTTTGCAGTTTCTTTTAATTCACTGACATATTAAACGATTTTTTAAGAACAGGTTTTGTTAGTTATTTCCCTACATTAGAATTAATTCTCGAACGTCATTGAGTGGAAAATAAACAGATGTTATTAACTTCCGCAATTTTTTTTGGGTATCAACAAAAATTTCTGTTATTGACGTTGATGCATCGATAAAAGAACCCCCAAAATTAATTTTGTTTTCAGCACATCGGATTTTGTTTAATAAATATCATAATGAATGGCTCTCATATATTTTCGGAGGGTCATAGTAAGCTTCTAGTGTCGATAAATTATATGTGCTAGTTGTTATTGTAGCGGCCCTATTGCTTTTACACAATGGACTGAGGTGACAGACGTTGGCCGAGTAAGACTCGGGTCGTTTCGGATCGTAGACCCCTCTGTCGTGGAAACGATATGTGCTATTCAGGCTAGCTGAAATGTCTTTATAGAAGAGCTGAAGAGGGAGTCTTTATATAGACGAGCTGTAGAGGGAGTCTTTATATAGACGAGCTGTAGAGGGAGTCTTTATATAGACGAGCTGTAGAGGGAGTCTTTATATAGACGAGCTGTAGAGGGAGTCTTTATATAGACGAGCTGTAGAGGGAGTCTTTATATAGACGAGCTGAAGAGGGAGTCTATATAAAGACGAGATGAAGAGGTAGTCTATATAAAGACGAGCTGAAGAGGGAGTCTTTATATAGACGAGCTGAAGAGGGAGTCTTTATATAGACGAGCTGAAGAGGGAGTCTTTATATAGACGAGCTGAAGAGGGAGTCTTTATAGTCGCTCTTTAGAGGGTGTCTTTAGACGAGCTGAAGAGGGAGTCTTTATATAGACGAGCTGAAGAGGGAGTCTTTATATAGACGAGCTGAAGAGGGAGTCTTTATATAGACGAGCTGAAGAGGGAGTCTTTATATAGACGAGCTGAAGAGGGAGTCTTTATATAGACGAGCTGAAGGGAGTTTTTATAGATGAGCTCTTAGGGACGTTTTTATAGATGAGCTGAAGTAAATTCATAATAGATGAGCTGTATGGAGTCTTTGTAGATGAAAGACTATTATTTGAGGATCTATAGAAGCGTCTTATTTTTGGAGAATGCATGGATTTATTAAAGACTATTTTTTGAGGACCCTATAGAAGCGTGGATTTATTAATGACTACTTTTTAGGGGGCCCAATAGAAGCGTGGATTTATTAAAAACTATTTTTTGAGTGTTCTATAGGAGCGTGAATTTATTAAAGACTTTTTTGAGGATTCCATAGAAGCGTGGATTTATAAAAGACTTCTTTTGAGGATTCTATAGAAGCGTGGATTTATAAAAGACTTTTTTAGGATTCCATAGAAGCGTGGATTTATTAAAGACTTTTTTAGGATTCCATAGAAGCGTGGATTTATTAAAGACTTTTTTAGGATTCCATAGAAGCGTGGATTTATTAAAGACTTTTTTAGGATTCCATAGAAGCGTGGATTTATTAAAGACTTTTCTGAGGATTCCATAGAAGCGTGGATTTATTAAAGAGGGTCCTATAGAAGCGTGGATTTATTAAAGAGGGTCCTATAGAAGCGTGGATTTATTAAAGAGGGTCCTATAGAAGCGTGGATTTATTAAAGAGGGTCCTATAGAAGCGCGGATTTATTAAAGAGGGTCCTATAGAAGCGTGGATTTATTAAAGGCTATTTTATGAGAGGGTCCTATAGAAGCGTGGATTTATTAAAGGCTATTTTATGAGAGGGTCCTATAGAAGCGTGGATTTATTAAAGGCTATTTTATGAGAGGGTCCTATAGAAGCGTGGATTTATTAAAGGCTATTTTATGATAGGGTCCTATAGAAGCGTGGATTTATTAAAGGCTATTTTATGATAGGGTCCTATAGAAGCGTGGATTTATTAAAGGCAATTTTATGAGAGGGTCCTATAGAAGCGTGGATTTATTAAAGGCTATTTTACGAGAGGGTCCTATAAAAGCGTGGATTTATTAAGGGTATTTTATAAGAGGGTCCTATAGAAGCGTGGATTTATTAAAGGCTATTTTATGAGAGGGTCCTATAGAAGCGTGGATTTATTAAAGGCTATTTTATGAGAGGGTCCTATAGAAGCGTGGATTTATTAAAGGCTATTTTATGAGTGGGTCTTATAGAAGCGTGGATTTATTAAAGGCTATTTTATGAGTGGGTTTTATAGAAGCGTGGATTTATTAAAGGCTATTTTTGGATTTATTAAAGGCTATTTTATGAGAGGGTCCTATAGAAGCGGGGATTTATTAAAGACTATTTTTGGATTTATTAAAGGCTATTTTATGAGAGGGCCCTATAGAAGCGTGGATTTATTAAAGACTATTTTTCCAGGGCCAACTGAGGCGTGGATTTGAGCGTGGATTTATTAAAGACTATTTTTCAAGGGCCAACTGAGGCGTGGATTTATTAAAGAATATTTTTCAAGGGCCAACTGAGGCGTGGATTTATTAAAGACTATTTCTTTAGAGGGTTCTATAGAAGCGTTGATTTATTAAAGACTATTTCTGTAGACGGTTCTATAGAAGCGTGGATTTATCAAAGACTATTTCTGTAGAGGGTCCTATAGAAACGTGCAATTATTAAAGACTATTTCTGTAGAGGGTCCTATAGAAATGTGCAATTATTAAATACTATTTTTATATATAAAGCGTGGATTTTTTGGAGAATGCTTTTTGAGGGTTCTATAGAAGCGTAGATTTATTAAAGACTATTTTTTAGAGGGTCCTATAGAAGCGTGGAGTCATTAAAGACTATGGACAATTGTAAGCAATTCTAAGGTGAAAGAAAAGCAAATATAAATTTTTAAATCAATGCTAGTTCAGGGTTTTTTTTTAATGTTAAGCAAATCCATTAATATACACCACCAATGAAAAAAAATTTAGTTCGAACATATATTTATCAACATTGTTGCAATAATGAAAAAAATATATATCAATCTTTTGCCATATAAGTGTGGGGGGTCTGACCTATCTTGCTTGGTCATTGAGAAACTATTTCAGTGTAATCAATGGCTATGACATGAAAAACATTTGACATTCACTGATATCGGATCGTACTTAATATTATATAGAAACAACAAATACACAAGTTCGTACGTATGTACATCAGAGAGTGATTTGGATTGAAGAATGTTTTGTGTTTTTTTTTATTATTAATATACAGGCGACAAATGATAAGCAGCAGGCAATCTTTTGCGTAATTTACAACTGGTGATAAAAACAGAAAGAAAAAAATCATACGATACACGTCATAAATCGATTGTAAACAGCAATAATTATTATTTTTGTTTTTAAATGATTCATAATTGGATTTATTTTATTTCTCTTTATTACAGAGAAGTTATATTACGTTCCGTACGATCAGATCGTAAATTCTGGGAAGTTGGCCGAAAACTGGTGGCCGCCGTCTGGGATGCTCATGCACGCATCTATCATGGCTACGAGGTAATTGGTATGGAACACATTCCAAAAGATGGCCCAGCCTTAATTGTGTACTACCATGGTGCCATACCGATTGATATGTACTACTTGAATTCACGAATGATGTTGCAAGAGAATCGTCTAATCTACACTATTGGTGATCGTTTCCTATTCAAATTACCCGGTTGGGGTACCATCTCTGAAGCATTCCATATAAGTCCCGGCACAGTGCAGTCGTGTGTGAATATTTTACGTGACGGCAATCTGCTAGCCATATCACCGGGTGGTGTCTACGAAGCACAGTTTGGTGATAACTACTATGAGCTGTTGTGGCGAAATCGTGTGGGATTTGCCAAAGTGGCCTTAGAGGCTCAGGTGCCAATAATACCATGTTTTACACAAAATTTACGTGAAGGATTTCGACAAGTCGGTATCTTTCGGACATTCTTTATGAAACTATATAATACCATTAGGATACCGGTGTATCCGATATATGGTGGTTTTCCCGTCAAGTTTCGTACATATTTGGGTAAACCCATTGAACATGATGGCAACTTGACGCCGGAACAGTTGCAAGTTAAGGTATGTGGAATAAGTTTTTTTTAAAATAATCTATTTTTTAAAGACTATTTTTCAGGTATCGGCTATTTTAGAGGGATTTATTAACGACTATTTTTTCAGTGTTCTATAGAAGCGTGGATTTATTAAAGATTATTTTTGAGGGTTCTATGGAACCGTGTATTTATTAGAGTACACCTAAGTCTGTTTTTACACGGTAGATTGGTTCCAGAAGAAGCCGTGTAAAAAAAGACATTGATCTTATACATAAAGGGAATTCCCCTAAATTAGTGCTATTCACATTTGCTTTGACCAGTAAAAATTGTTTGTACGCGCTAAAGGGGTATTCACTTAAATCTTTAGCTAGTGTTCGCAAACTATTTTTTCGATGGTTTCAGACTTTTTTATTTCATAAATACTTTTTTGTGATATGAACATACTTCGCAAAAATTAAATTTGACAAAAAAAATGTAAGTACATAAAATTTCAAATCGTGCTAAATGGAATAAAATCGTCTAAAAAAATTAAAAATATTCAATTTTCAAACCGTGTTATATCAAAACCGTGTACATGAAGACCGTGTAAAAACAGACTTAGGTGTATATTTTTCAGGGCTCCTCTCGAAGCCTGGTTTTATTAAACAATATTATTTTGGGTTTTTTAATACAATTTTTAAGGGTTCTATAGAAGCGTGGATTTTGATAAAGACTATTATTTAAGAATCCTATAGAAGCGTAGATTTATTAAAGATAATATTGAGGGTGCTATAGAAGCGTGGATATATTAAAGATTAAAGGTCCTACAGAAGCATAGATTTATTAAATACATTTTTGGGGATTCCTATTAGGTTAGGTTTGGGATGTGCAGTCACTTATGTGGCTACAGCACTCTAAGACCGTCAGGTCCATAGTGATCATCCACGAACAGAAGAGAGATAAGGTGAGATCTATAGGGGAGATAAAGAGAGATGCTTACAAGAAAATGTAAGAAAGTAAATTTGAAATAGTATCGATGGCTTTAGAGTTCGGACAGAAGATATATTACGTGTCAAGGTTGCACTTTCCCAACCACTTTAGGTTTCTAATTATGCTGTGGTTTTATTGAGAAGAAACAACCCACTAGTCTGTGCCGTCTGTAGGCCACAGGAGATGCTCAATTGTCTCTGTCTCCTCCTCGTCAACGTAGAGTCTACATCAATTAATTGCATCATGAACGCCTCAAGTTCCGATAAAGATGATATATGGGTGGTTTGATTGAGTCATCAGTTCCTAGATCTGTGGATTGAGATCCTCGATTGGCTAATTCGTCTGCTCTTTCATTACCCAAGATGTCACGGTGTCCTGGTACCCAACACAGCCGATAGGTGTAGGTAAGTTCTTCCAAAGCTGTTCTTCACTTGAGGACCGCCTCAGATTTGATGGCTTTAAGATCCGCTTGACTATCCACGAAGATAGTCACCGGGAGGACCTTTATTAAAGACTTTTAAATTAAGTTGCCTTCCAAATCGCAAAGATTGGAGCTTGAAAAACACTACAGATTTTTTGTAGGTTAGTCTCAAGGCCTAGCCTTAACAGTAGACATTACCTTCTTAGGGTCCTTGTATAGAAGCCAGGATTTATTAATGAATATTTTCGGTTCCAGGGTTCTACTAGGAATAACGACATCTACATCGTCAAATCTCAGGACTAGTGATATAAAATTTAGTTTACGCATTGATCTGCGTACCTTATCTAATTTACTGGATGTCGACTTGTGGCGCAGACAGTTCCACCAAACAAGAGAGCCATAGGAAAGGATGGGCCTTGCCACGGTGTTATACAACCAGTGTATAGTCGATGGTTTTAGCCCCCAGTTTTCCCAATGGAGTTCTTGCATGCATAGAATGCAATGATCAGAAACTGAGGGAAATTTAGCTTGATCTGATAGATACACCATAGAACTGTCACTAAGTAAGACAAAATATATCAAAGATGTTAAACCATGAGATACATCAAAGTGAATTATGTATGATAGACCGATTTAAACGCAAACAAACACTACGAACACATGCATCTCTATGTGGATCCAACAAATTGCAATTGAAATCACCAATTATCACTATGTTGGAATAACTTTCAAACAGATGAGCTTAAGACAGATGATTTGAATATTATTTTATAATTTTATTATCTCAAGGTCCAGTAATCTTCCCATTGAATACAGCAGATTTAAAAAAAAAAATCAGCAACAATTTAAGCGTATTTTTAACATTTAAAGTAAATTTTCAAAATAAAAAAATAATCTTATATATATATATATATATATATATGGTATATAAATGCTTGAAATTATATATTTTCTATACGGCTATTGATGCGTGAAGCATTATAAAAATAATTTTTATATTTGTATGTTTTTTCAGGTCGCTCACGCTTTAGAAGATTTAATCAACAAACATCAACGTCTACCCGGCAGCATATTTCATGCATTGCTCGATCGTTTTCCGCCATTTAGAAGCAAAAAGGATTAAACCCCCCCTTTTAAGACAAGAACAAACCTCATAACAATTAAAACAAAACAAAAAAGTAATTTTAAGTTTAGAAATCTCATAACTGTGTTAATTTTTTTAATAATTTCTTTCTTTAATAAGCAGCATGTTTTTTTTTTAATTTCTCAAAGAAAAAAATGTATTCTAATATCGAATGAGATTGAAGTTTTTCGTCTTCTATTATTATTTTTGGCTAGGCGATAGAATGTACTTAAACTTTGGTTGTAGTTAACTTTTTAAAAAGAAATATTAAGTATTCTATCTATAAGAACTATTATTATGATGTATGGGAATAGACACGTTTTTTTTTTTTTTTTTTTTTTTGGTTAAAATGAACTTTTGATATTTAAAAAAAAAAAAAAAATTTTTGTTTTTATTTTTTTATTATTTTTTAAAGTTTTTGGCAATATTTTTTATATAGCCAGCGTGACTTTTCTTTTTAGACTGGTAAAACATTTCTATACTAATAATTCGAGTTGTATTTTAGCGTTGTATATGAATTGCAAGTTAGCTTTTTACTATTAAATAAAAAATAAAAAAAAATCATTTTACATTTGAAATGTAGCCAAAACATGATCATTTAAATATTTATATATAAGACTATATTGTAATTGAAATATATTATTAATATTATTATTGTGTAAATGTATATGTATTTATTTTTAAATGAAACATATTGCTATTTATTATTAAATAAACAAAGTGTGAATCGACAAGGAATACAATATTTTTTGTTTTAAATTATGTTGGATTCTATTACTTTAAAAGAATAAAGGAGAACGGCGTACAAAATCAACTTTGTCTCTGATAATCCTTTATAAATTGACATCTCAAACAATGTTATGTTGGCTTTGTTTGATATGTCAATGCCAGGCCTGAATCCTCGTATGTCGTTCCCCTTTATACCCAATGTTATTTCCATAAATCACATTTCAACATGTAAATGTAGCATTAGACGAAGTAATCAGTATTCATTCCAATGCAAATCGATCTATGTATCTCTATTTTCCAACCACTGTTTTTGCTACATCAAAGTCGATCTATGGTAACCTAATTTCTAAGTTCATTTATACCATGTGCAGACGAGCGTTGTTCTCTCCCTCATTCGTTGTTCGACCCTTAATTATGAAGTAATTACTTGGTCCCCCTACAAAATTGTCTGAGCGAACAATGATTCAATTCGAATCCCTAGATGAATAACCAAGGAATTTGTCCCATCCCAAACAATTGAGAGTATTTAGTATTTAAATTAATTTGGGCTTTAACATGGCGAAGCCCAGGCTTATCATGGTCCCACTTTCATCTTAATTGTGTACACTGAGCTCCCCGCGGTGTCACCTGGGGTAACTATTTTCATCATCCATTGAAATAGTGAGCTGAAATGTGCCCCGAGTTCACCCATAAGAAGTAAAACAACGGAAAATCCCCCTTATTATGAAAAAGCAACGAAAAAGAAAACCAATAACCCCCAATGTTGACGTCCCGCGCAAACGTATAAAGGATCACGATCTTCGAATCTGCACTTGAAATGTGAGTACGTTGCACAGAACAGACGCAGTTTTCGCCTTAGCAGATGTACTCATGAAGTACAAAGCCCATATTATTGCCTTACAGGAAATGCGATGGAAAGGGACTGACGTAAGTAAATCAGATTACGCCCTGTATTATAGCTGAGACATGAATTTGGCTGCGGATTTATAGTTAATAGGTGAATAAAAGACCTCGTCTCCAGATTCACTTCAGTAGAGTGGCGAATTGCTATAATCCTTATAAAAGCGAAGTTCTTCTACATCAGCCTTATTTGCGCCCATGGTCCGACGGAGGACAATGATGAACAGACCAAAGACAAAGCGTCTAGAAACTGAATATGACTGCTGCCCTGACCATGACATAAAAATTCTTCTAGGAGATTTTAATGAAAAAATCGGAAGGGAGAATATTTTTTCTCCCACCGTCGGAAAATTCAGCCTCCATCCGACATCCGACAACGGCATGAAGTTGATTGACTTCGCGGCAGCAAAAAACATGGTAGTTAGCAGCACCAGATTCAAGCATCTCAATATACACAAGGCCACCTGAATTTCTCCTGATCGCACAATGATAAATCAAATCGATCATATTGTGATAGATAGATAGATTTGGACCATTACCTTGTGGCAGCCCAGGTTCACACCCGTCTTAATGTAGCAGCAAAGGTGCGATCTAATGTAACACGGAGACTCGACGTCGACTCTCTCCTTGTCCCGATAATAATATAGAAGCACAATAGTAAATTACCTACAAACTGCGGCAAAAGGAACACTTGGGTACCAAAAACCAACTCGAAATATACAGGAGTCAGAATGAAGTCCGTAAATTTTACCTACGAATAAAACACCAAACCGAAGGCTTTGGCGCAGGTACACCTTCTGTAGAAATGAAGAAGGAAACCTGGTGACAGATACAGATAACGTGCTGAGGATCTGGAAGGAACATTTTGAAAAACTTCTGGTATCAAATAGTACCTCAGAACCAATATAGAATGTATACAACCTAGCCAAGATGAAGTCAAAATAGCAATCAATCGGCTGAACAGTAATAAAGCAGCAGGTGCCGATGGATTACCAGCCGATCTATTCAAGACCGATGGTCAGATGCTGGTCAGGAGCATGCACCAGCTCATTTGTACAATTTGGCTACAAGAGTACATGCCCAATGGGACATCAGCATCCTGTGTCCCGTGCACAAAAAAGATGACAGGACGATATGTGTTAACTATAGAGGTATAAGTCTCCTCCCATCGCATATAAAGTTCTATCCCGCGTACTGTGAGAACGACTGAAGCCAATGGTCAGTGATATTGTTGGACCATACCAATGCTGCTTCAGACCTGTCAAATCCACCATTGACCAGATTTTCACTCTGCGCCAGATCCAGGAAAAACCCCACGAAAAATACATCGACACATTCCACCTATTCGTCGACTATAAAGCCGCATTGACACCCCTATCCGTTCAGAGGTGTTTAAAACCATGTCGGCGTTTGGCAATCCAGCAAAATTAACGGCTATGCAGGATAACTTTAACTGGTACAATGCCAGCAGTTGGAGTCGGAAAGGACCTCTCGGAGCCCTTCAATACCGAACGAGGATTCAGACAAGGTGACAGTTTGTCGTGTGACCTTGTTAATAACCTGCTGGAAAAGGGCATACGAAAAGCAAAGGTGAACACGTCTTTTTCATGTAAAACAAGAAACAATAAACTCTGTTGACATGGATTACGAATAGTTTTGTATGAACGGGTTTATGCATGTACGTAATTGTGAGAGGAACAACGTTGTTCGAACGTTCGTCAGAACATGGTATTAGACTTTTCAATACAAAAAGTCGATTAGTCGAAAGTCGATTTACTTATCCCTAGTTTGTTCATTCTTGCTTCGGTTTGCAAAATTTGTTGTAGCTTGTTTTTTCGGTGGACAAGAAAATGTTTAAATTCTTAACAAAATTAAAAAAATAGACACAATTAAAAAATTATTTAATAATAAATGCGGCATTCGTAAAAAATAAACACTGCGTGGTGGATAATTTGTAGTCTTCGGCTGTGTTTCTCTTTCATTTCCTTTTGAAAAGATGGCACGTCAGCGTGATAACAAGGGTGGAAGTTCAGGTGAAAAATCGACGAGTAAACAAAAAAGTGGCAAGCAGCAACAACAACAACACAATGTTATTGAAAATGCCGATTCCACAAAATCGAGTAGTACAACAACGACAAGTACTACATCTTCCACGGCGGCCTCGGAAACAAATAAGCCGCCCAAGGGAAAGCACCCCAAGAAGGCCACATTCGAAGAACCAACATCGAAATTTGTTCTGAACAAATGGAAAACATTGGCCGGCAGTATCTGCATGGCGGTGGCAGCCTATTTCTGTTATCAGGGCTATTTGGAGACACGTGTAAATACACCATTTGACAATCAGAAAATGGTTACACGAGCTGGCCTTGATGATCCCGAACGTTATTGGGGCTCTTATCGCCCTCTGAATTATTTCGGTATGAAAACCAGAGATCCCCACTCCCTGGTAATGGGCCTAATGTGGTATACACCCTCCAATTTGGGTCACGGCGGTAAGGGTATACGCCACTGGTGTGATATGGGTGATAATTTGGATAAATACGGGTGGACTCATCATGATGGACGGACATTTGGTGTCCAGGAGATACACGATCTTCCCTTCGAGTTGAAAACCTCCTTTGTAAAGTATCCCAGTGGTAAACAATTTGGTGGTGATTGGACTGCCAGGATCTCAGTTAAGAATACCACCCGAGCATGGGATCGTTCGATATCTTTGATATGGTATGTGGCGTTGGATGAACGCACCAATGGTCATATTAAATATGTGTCGGATGAGAAAAGTCCCGAGCCAGGGGTGTATGGTGAAACATTGGGTCTTGGAGAATTCCAATTGCGTTTCCATCCAGTGAAGGGACGCATACTGCATAAATCATACCTGTCCACAGTTGCTCCTTCTCTCAGTAAGCTAAAGGAAACGGTATTTAGTCATTTCCGTGCATTTACCGATAAAAAGGGTCATCGTTATATCGGCTTGCCAGGGGAAATGATATCACACAATGGTCAGGCGCCGGCAGATCCTAATTTCATTGCCATACAAATAACGGCAGAGGTAGATTTTACGCTGGACATTACATATCAATCGACTTCGGGATTTTCAGTGGGTGAGACGATACCTAAGCCGCCAACCGGACGAGATTATACTGATTCGCTGCAATCGCACATTGCGGCTTTCGATAAACGTTTTGAGGATACCTTCCATTTAAAGGCAAAGGGCTTTTCCAACGAAGAAATTAAATTTGCCAAATATGCGCTGAGTAATATGCTGGGCGGTATCGGCTATTTCTATGGATCAAGTAAGGTAAGTCAGAGGGTGGTTTTGATACAAGTCTTGCTTTAAAGTGTCAAACGGATCTTTGGGAAAAAAACATTTTTTAATCAAAATGGTGTTTGAATTAATCGAGAGACAGGTGGACAATTCGGCGCGTGCAAACTGGTCTCCGGGCAGGGTAAAACACCCCAAGTTTAGGTCCCAAAATCAGGAATATATTAGTGGAGGAACGTACGAGAGTCAGAAGATAAGCATTCCTATTTCCCAAAACGCAACCGTCCCTTTCGATTGTGATTTCAATTATCTTGTCTTGTTGGTTCATTAGCCATTGTCCGCCGGCTTAATCTTCTTAACAGGTATTCTTTTATGGGCATGCTTCTTGTTCGTTGGATTCAACTTCACAGCCCGACCCTGTTCCATAACAGCTTCCTTCGCATCAGCCACAGCATCGCTCTTTTCAATGGCCACCACAACTGGAGCTTATTTCTGCGATGTAAAGCGGATATTCTTACCATTTACCGCTGCTTACTGGCATTGGCGACCCCATTTGTCTGGTCAACTCGTCACATTCGAACTCTGCTGATCGGCAATTACTCTTCTCCAAATGAGCCAGTTCTTTCTAAAGTTTCCTTTTCTCTTCTTCCCATAATTTTTCTGCTACTTGGGCTTTCTACGCAGTCGCAACCAACTCACTTTTAAGTTCCTAAATTAATTTTTTAATTGTTTTTTATGCTCTTCAAACTTTGCCTCCAACGACTGCACATTTTTTTAAGGCAACCATTGGCGTCTACGGTTGTTTGTAGAGCAGCTTCTAGCTCCTTATTTCTTTTACGTAACTGTGCCGCGTCACGATTTTTTCCTCCAATTGTTCCTCATAATCTTCGTATAGCATATCGGACACAACCTTCGCTGACCTAAGATTTCCTCGCGCCACCTTCAATGCCATTTGAAGACCACCAATTTGCCTTTGGGCTGACCTAAACCATCCTGCCATATTGGATTTCTTCTCCAACATCTCCATCCACCGATCAGGAACAACCGGATCGTCTTTCGCTTCATTGGGTGCGTCTCTCACTAGATTTTCTATATAGTCATATAGGCACTGTATCGTCCGCATATTCACAGCCGTTTCGATAGCCTCTGCGTACATGTCAATATTAGTTAGTAGAGAACATTTCATATAGCATATCGTACACAACCTTCGCATATCGTACACAACCTTGACTTCTGCTAACCAAATTCTGTTTGATTTCAGGTTCAATCGGTTTACACCACCAATCCGGTTCCCTACTGGAAATCCGCCCTGTACACAGCTGTGCCGTCACGATCATTCTTTCCACGTGGTTTCCTCTGGGATGAAGGTTTCCATGGGCTATTGATTTCCTCGTGGGACATTGACATCGAATTGGACATTATTAGTCATTGGTTTGATTTATTGAACATTGAGGGATGGATACCACGTGAACAAATTCTTGGTGTCGAAGCGTTGGCCAAAGTTCCTGATGAATTTGTTATACAACGTAACACCAATGCTAATCCGCCAACGTTTTTATTGACCCTCAAGAAGATTCTAAAACATCACAAACAGGAGTTGTCTTTAAAGAGTCGTCTGGACACATTGGAACGTATCTATCCACGCCTGCAGGCCTGGTTTGCCTGGTACAATACAACACAGCGGGGTGATATACCCGGGACATATCAATGGCGTGGACGTGATGCCACTACGGAAAGGGAATTAAATCCCAAAACCCTATCATCAGGTTTGGATGATTTCCCACGAAGTTCCCATCCCAGCAGCCGGGAGAGACATGTTGATATCCGTTGCTGGATGGCATTTGCGGCAAGTGTTATGGCTGAGTTGTCCACCATTTTGGGTAAAGATGATCATAAATACTATGAAACGGCGGGATATCTAAAAGACAACGATGTCCTCAATGAACAACATTTAAGTCCCTACACCGAAACCTATGCCGATTGGGGTTTGCATTCCGATTCGGTGGTACTCAAACGTCCCCAGCTGACACAGAAAAATCTACAACGTAATCAACACCAACAAATGGAAATGGTAAGGGTAACATTGAAACAGCCGGATTATAAATTTGTCGATTCCACTTTTGGCTATGTGAACATATTCCCATTCTTATTGGAGATACTCGATCACGATTCTCCGTATTTGGGTAAACTCTTAAAGGATATACGTGATCCACAAAAGCTGTGGACACCCTATGGTCTACGTTCGCTATCGAAATCATCGCCCCTCTATCAAAAACGTAATACCGAACATGATCCTCCATATTGGAGAGGTCCCATCTGGATTAATATCAATTATTTGGCAGTTAAGGCTTTGCGTTACTATGGCATGCTGGAGGGTCCCTATGCCGCCTTGGCTCGTGATATTTATGCCGAATTGCGGGAAAACCTAATACATAACATTTTCAAAGAGTTCCAACGTACTGGCTACCTGTGGGAACAGTATGATGATACAACGGGTCAGGGTAAAGGTTGTTATCCCTTCACTGGATGGAGTTCCTTGGTTGTATTAATAATGTCGGAGCAATATTAGAGGAATTAAGACGGCGAAGACGACGAGACTGCTGAGTGTGTGTGGTGGACATTTAGTACAATTTTGTAATTTATGAAAAAATGCAATAATGACCTACGAATTACTTAATTTGTTGTTGTAGATGACGAGATTTTTTTAATGCCATTCTAGGTAATGACATTAAAATGTAGAGCATGACGATATTCTACCACAATCTCTATCCCCATGTATAATTAGAAAATTTGTAATTTTTAAATTAATTAAAAATGCCAAAAGTAATCCGATTATTAACGATTATTAATAAACAAAAAGAAAAAAGTTAATGAAAAAATATTGTTTCATTTTTTAATTAATTTTTTTTTCCACGAGAAATTAAATACCAAAAATTCAATTTTTCTGATAGAAAATTGAGTTTATGGTCTTGGGGCCGAATATTTATATTATTAATTTTTGGGAGGGAGATTTGTTACCGTATATGGTAACAAATTTCCCTGCAAAACACAAATTTAATCGAATCCGGTTGAAAAATCCGCTCATGATCCCCAAAAATACCCTTATATGTGGCTACCCGAAAAAATAGACCTATATTTATAATTTTTAGTGGAGGGATTTGCTACCAAACTAAATTGCAGCCAAAAAATTTACCTTTATTTATCATTTTTAGTGAATCAAAACGAACATTAAACTCGCTTGGTGTAGAAGTAAAAAATTTTCACAAATAACACATTGTGGGGGAGATACCTGAAGGAGTGGACCGATTGCGACCATCTTCAGACTTGATCTAGATTTGGTAAAAGTATTACGATTTCAAAGTTTGGATATAATTATACACAAAATTCGCATGGTATTAAATTAACAAATTTTCAAAATGTTGAATCATTGTGGGGGAGATACCAGAAGGAGAGGACTCGATCCAGGATTGGTAGAAATGTTACGATGCGTAAATTTTGGGTCAAACCGAACATTAAATTAGTTTAGTATTGAATTAACAATTTTTCAAAATATTGGCAGTTTGTTGGGGAGGTACTAGAAGGAGTGGACCGATGGATACCATCTTTGGACTTGATCTGGCTTGATAAAATTATTACGAAGTAGTATTACGATGTGTAAAGTTTGAATTCAATCTGACATTCCATACAGTTGATATTGAATTAATTAATTTTCAAAATTTTGATACTTTTTGGGGAGGTATTAGAAGGAGTGGACCAAGAGGTCCCATTTGCGCACAGGTTTGCTAAAAATATTACGATTTGCAAGATTTGGATCAACTCGTACTTTAAATTCGCTTTGTGTTGAATTAACCAATTTTCACGATGTTTACGATTTGTGTTGGAGGTACTAGAAGGAGTGGACCGATGAGTCCTATCTTCTGACATGATTTAGGTAAAAATATTACAATGTGTAATGTTTGTATTAAATTGCGCATCGCAAATCGCTTAATATCTGATTTATAAAATTTGCAAATATTTACCCTTTGTGGGTGAACTTTTAGAAGGAGTGGACCGGTAAGTCTCATCTTACAGGCTTATGCAAGCATGGTTAAAGGGGATAATTCATTATTTTTCAGCACAATATTGACCATTTTGTGTGTGTGATACCAAAAGGAGTTGACCGATATTCCCCATTTTCAAACTTGAACAGACAGAAAATCAACTCCAAATTTTCTAACACGTATTTGGTCCAAGGAAACATGGTGTCTAAAATCCATATTTCCCTTACGTTACGTTAAGTTTAGAGGCTCCACTCGGATCGCGTTAAAATATTTACCGTAATTTACAGCTATATATTTACTTTATATGGTGGAAATGCAAAGTTCCCCAGATATGGGCCTTGAAAGATCGTAGAATATTTTATTTAAATCAGCCGTTTTACGTTTTCCAGGAAGTCAATATGGGTATCATTTTAAAAGTTAGGGATAGTGCTTTAAAAATAGATGAAGATTTATTTAATAAAACTGAAAAAAAAATTGGATTACGTAGCCATGTATGCGCCTGCCCATAGGTAAAAGTCTTAAGCCCCGACTGAAGGCCGGCTAATTAAAAACTCTTAATTTTATTTTAAAATTAAGGATTTGGATTGCGTAGTCATTTTTCCGTTTGTCCATAGACGAAAGTCTTAAGAACTGGCGGAATCAGCTCAAAGAGGACTACTCCGAGTGGAGACCCCAATCTTGACGTGTTCCAATTACAATTGAAATAATTCTCAAATTGAAAAATGTGTAGTAAATCAAAAATAAATTACACAAATTACTTACCTCAATTTTCTTTTCCGTCAGGTAACGCACGTTAATAACAATAATACGCAATTCATACATACTATCATACACAAACTTTCGAAATTGAAATCGGGTGTCGTCGCCCAAACGAACAAAACAATTTTAATTAAAAACAAAACAAAAATTTTAATTTAATTATAAACAAAAGATATCTTTAAATTTTTTTCTTTTGCGAAAATATGCACTCCAGAGCTTATATATTTTTAAACCGACATAGACAAAAATATGCATGCATTTTGTTTTTCTTTATGTATTTTGGCCACGGCGCCGCCATTTTGTAAAAGCGCCATCACCGACATTCGTAAATATGCCGTCACTCCTTTTTTAAACGATGCTTTTCACACGAATAACTTACATTTCACACAAAAATTCTATAAACATTTGTTTCAATGAGAATTGTGGAATTGATTTTTAATAACAAATTTTACACAGTTTTGTTTTATGTTCTTTATCTTCATTCAACAAACACTTTAAAGCAAAGATCGATCACCCAACATTCGCAAACCGTTAACTTTGATAGAGTTGCCAAAGTATAAATTGCAATAGTCATTTAAATGCAGGGACTCGTAGATCGATAAATGAAAATAAACTAAAAACGTGCATGCAAGAGAGCTTTAAGAAAAGCTTTAGGGTTAATAAAGTCAACCCCTACGCATTAATTACAACTTGGCATCGGAATTGCCTCCGAGTTATAGGTTCCAACATGCTACGGTCAAGGAACTATCTAAATGTGTTGGGTTTAACCTACCAGGTGTGTCTTTAATTAAAAATACCCAACAAATTAACACCAACCATGCCAAAGTAGGGATTAAATTTGAAACCTTGTTTTATAATATTGCTCCCACCAGAGTACATGGGCTCAAATCTATTAAAATATGTACTGATGTTCTTTTTTTTTTTAAGGCTAATCAATTTCAATTTATTGCTAGCCCAAAGGGCCAAAAGGTCAAAAAACAACAAAATATAAACTACTCCAAAAGCTTAAAACTAACAGTGTATTAGCTTAATGTTATCAACGACTATTCAGTTGGAAGAACCATTGTACTTCAAAAACATTTTTATTATTATTATTCCATTATTTGATGCAGCGACCTATCACATAGGGCAAAGGACTTCAATATTATATCTACTATCAAGATAAGGAAAAAATAAATCATCTTGAAAATACAGGCTATAAACTTTTTTTCGCAGATGGATCAGTGGCCGGAGACATTACCGGAGCTGCTTTTTACCATCTCAATTCACAAACAACTAAATCTTTCTATGTCAGGAAAAAATGCGGAGTACGCCGAAAACAATGATATCAACAAAGTGTGCAATACTTTCTGACAGCTTGAGTGGGATTCAGGCTATGAATAATTAAAAACATATGAATTATCTGATTGACGCCTTTATCAACATGGTAAATTTCTTTGCGTACACTTACAGGGCGTCCAAAAATGTAATCAATGAAGGAACACTTCTAGAAATACAATGGCCAATGCCGGATGCCATCAATCAGATGGCTAAGGTTCTTTGGGATGAAAAGGGTAATGATTATGTGCAAGTAGCATTTTTATAAAATCTTTCCGTCGCTGACAAGAACACAGTGGTTTAAAAATTGTAATTTGAACTATTTTTCACAAAAAACAAATCAATAGAATCCTTAGTGGTCACTGTTTCTGCAAGAGAGCACCTTAGCCAAAATGAATGTGGTACCAGATAACTTATGCGAGGACTGCGGAGAAACCGAAACGGCATATAATCATATAATCTTTGGAAGTCGTAATAATACAAGAAGAATATTTCAGGAGAAATCACATAGTATTTCTCCACACTTGAAGACTTCACGAATTCTGTAACAAGCCAGCTAAGTAATTAAGGCTTCTTCTGGCCAATATATTTCAGTGTGAAATGATTTGATTTGGTTCAATAAATTTTCAATATGAAATTAAGTACACAGATACATATTTTTTGTTCTCAAAAAATCTTATTTTTATTGAAATATGTTTGGTTGTTGTTTTTTATTATTATTTTGAAACAAGTCAATATGTGTCTTGTTAATTATAGATTATGAATATATGGATGTGTGTGTTTTTGTGTGGTTTTGAAATTACTTCAAATTATTATTTACTTTTATATATTTTTTATTAAAATATCAGTAGTTTGTATCACTTAAAAATACCAAAAAATAAAAGAAAAAAATATTTATCTTTTCTAATTCTTATATATTTTTGTATTATTTTTTTAATGTAAAGTTGTGGCTTGTTTATTCTAACTCTAATGCTTAAAAATTGTTGTTTTGTTGCAAAAAGAGAAGAGAACACTATGTTTGTTTTTTTGTTTATAAATCTATTTTCATCACTTTCCGTTTTCCTTACAGATGTGGATAAGGAAAATTAGTTTTGAGATAAAAATAAAAGTGAAAATTAAAAAAATATAATAAACTAAGGCAAAATAATTGATACTAAAATTGTGTATAATTTTTTTTAATTTCATATATTTTTTCTGTGTTTTAATCACAAAACATTTTTTATTTAAATTATTTTAGGTATATTTGTATTGTATTTTAGGGGGAAGATGTGATCGATCATAAACATAAGAATTTTTTTTTCATTTTTTTTAAATTTCCATTATAAAAAAATAATTGCACAGTGTATGATTTTATATGAAATGAAAATAATAATAAGAAGAAAAAAGTAATATTACAAATATTTAAATTATGGTTAAGAAAAAAAAAATAACTTAAAAGATTATTTAAACATAAAAAATAAAAATGTTGAGAAAATTAACGAAAAAATAACTAAACTCTTGGTAATTTCTTAAAGCATCCAAAAAAGGTTATTGATAGAGGAAAATATAATTTGTTTGGGCGTTTTTGTTTAGTGGGGGTAGGGGGGTCTAGTTCAAAAAAATTATTGCAAAATTCTCATTTTAACTAATTATTACTCTTATGCACAAAATGTTTTTTTTTTCAAATAAAATTGTTTAAAATTATATTAATAATAATTATATATAGAGCTATAACTTATTTTTTAAAGGATCATCATAATCAATTTATCTTGATTAATAAAATATATATATGTAGTTCTTTATAACAAGATCTTCTTTATGTATGACATAATTTTATGAACTTGTTACTGTGTTGTTGTTGCAGATGCATATAATCTTCATTATATATGTTCTAAGAAAAAATTGTTTAAATAAAATTAAACTATAAATATAAATTAAAAATTCACTTTGTCATAAGAATATTTATGAATTATTTCAAAAAAACATTTTTTTTTTTTTGAAATAAACTTATGACAAAGCTGTGTTACTACAAAGATATGCAATTTGCATAACCAAAGTAATTTTGAAAACGAATATATATATATATATATATATATTTTTTCCATTGTGTTATTAAAATCTTCTATAGAAATGTTCAAATAGTTTTTTTTTTTTTTGTTTTGTTTTCAACTGTTTTCAAATAATTTACTATGATGAATGAAACAGACCAAAAGAAATAAATTGAACCAAATGAAGGCAGCAAAAACAATTTGTAAACCTTCAAATTTTCAATTGAAATACAAACATTTGATATAAAATGTTGAACACTATAATTATTTTCATTCTCTAATGGCTTAATTGAATTTCTCACTGTTCTAAATCATATCAAATCATCATCATTTATAATATTGATTTTTCAATATTTTTCTTTTTTTTTTTGGAGGAAGGATGTGTTTGTTTTTTTCACCATACCTGATTGGTATATTGGTATTGTAGTATGTAAATTAGTTAAATTGTTTTGGGTGGGCTTTCTTTTTGTTTTGTTTTGAGAAGGGATTAATATCTTATTATTTCTATATATATGCCTATATATAACTTTTTCATTGTTGTCTAATTATTATTTTTTTGCTGTCTACCCTATCTCGTATTCTACTAGAGCTTAATATTTAGAAACGATAATTTTCATCAGCCATGTGTATAGCCCACATGAATTTAGTCCTTTGTGTTTTGTTGAAAATCTTTTCAATTGGAACATTGTGCTTTTTACACCTGAAAATAAATATAAAATAAGAAAATATTACCAAAAAAGAATAAAATATAAAGATGTATTATCGATAACAAGTTCTCCACAACTTTTCTCTAGCGAAAATTTGCGATAACAACATTTCTATAACGAAAAGTTGTCGATAACAATTGCAGATTGCTCAATATACTTCAGTTCGAAGTTCTGAGCTTCTATTGTACACAAAAAAAAATTAACACTTACCAAGCCACCGAAATACGTGGATCCAAATAATTCAATTTGGATGTGCCTAAAGCTATAGTTTTATTTTCATCTCTGTCAGTCTCTTGTAATTCCAATTTCTTTAATTGTTCCTTAAGGCGTTCAATTTGTTTGAACTTCTTATCGGCATTGACCTTTTCTCGGACCGAGCCTTTACGGGCGGCTCTCTTAAGATCCTGCAAATTAAAAAAAAAAGAAAATTCGATATTTTTTAATTTTCACAAATTGTTAATTTCCATTTTGTCATTACCTCATATTCATTTTCGGCGTCATCCAATTGTTCACGCTTTTGTCTGATTTTCTCTTTGAGATTTTCCATGGATTTTTCATGACTCTTGGGCACGGAACGTTGATGGTTACATAGAATGGCAACAGCACGATTTGCACGATTATAGGCTAACAATTTCTCGGGTACTGTCATATCGTCTTTTGTCAATAGATCCAATTGATTTTGTAGTGTAACTGAAGCATTGTAGGTACGGAACACTTTGGCAGTGAGACCTGCAAATGGTGGTGGTAATAACAAGAAAAAGAAAAATGTTATTTATATCTGGATTCTTAAAAATGGAATGTTTCTTAGAACTTACCTTCCATGAGTTCCTTTAAATGTTCATTCAGCACTGCGGTATTCAAACGATCAAACAGATCATCACCGGTCTTCTTGTTCTCCATGAAAAGTTCCAGATTCTTAAAGACCCTCTTCTCGACCTCAACTTCATTGTAGTAACGAATGGAATCCTTACCGAGGAAATCAAATACCACCACATTCTCCTTGCCATTGAGCTCTTTATGCAATGATACGTGTTCCACACGCAATGAACAACAACCCACAGTATCGGCCTGATCTTCATCCTTTTCGTTACCAGCTCTCAGCGCCAGCTTATCAATGAAATACAAGGCCACAGCACGTTGTCGGACGCGCATTTCTTTCGACTTCCATTCGTTGCGATATGTGTCACGGATTTTGTCAATTGATTTAGCCAAACGCCGGGCTGTCTCGTACTTAATGTGATCCTTTTCACCCTTCAATTTCGATGATGGATTCAACATAATATATTTGACCTGGCCCTGAACATTCTCAGTCCACGATGCCAACCATGTGACAGTGTTATTGTGTATGACTTCCTTCCAGCGGTGGCCTGGTGGAGGCTGGGGTATTTTTGAATCTTTGCCACAATTAATTGACACATCTTCGGCTTGGATACGCCGCTTAATCATACCCATTTTGGGATGTTCACCACGACCTCTGAACAGACCCGGAGGTTCAAGACGGAAATTACCAATCTTCTCCTTGTGTCCATCGATAATACAAATACCATATTCCTTCACCAGGGCTTCGTTTTCTTCCTTCTTCTTGAGTTTCTCTTCCTTGGTGGCGTTTTTACGTTTTTCCGATTCGGCCAAGAAGTATCGGTGCATTTCTTCGAAATTACACTTATCAAAGTCCTTAATGATATCCTTTTCCTCCTTGGTCATTGTTTTGCGGAAATCCTTGAAGAAATTATCGTTGAATATTTTCTTTGTACAGTAGTCGTGATTTAACATCTTGGCATAGAATGTGGCGGCTTCCTCGGTTTCTTCGCTCAGCTCCAGCGGTTTGCCGTCATAATAGAAGCGCACATTTCGCGGTAAACGTTCGTAGGGAGGAGCAAACACGGGACCCTTGTGTTCCAGAGTATTCCATTTTACACCATCTTCACGCTTTTCTTCTTCCCACCTAAGAGGAGGAGATTGAGAAGATGTAGTAGAACGAGGGGATTTTGTGGATTTTGTTTTAGTTAATTTTACTTTTGTTGAGCTAGCTGTAGTTTTTTGCTTTTTCGTTGTTGTTGTTTGTTTTGAGATCTTTTTATTAGTTGTTGTTGCCTTTGTCGCAAATGTTCGACCGAAGAACAGCTCTGGAGAACCTGCCTGTACTATTGCAGTGGTGGCGGCAGTGGGTGCTAACACAAATTTCCTGTCACACAATCTGGCCAACTCTATGTGTAGCACACGACGATTTATTCGCGCCAAACTTAATGCAGCAAATGCAATTGTCTTTGCCATATTTCATTGCAAAAACAATGAAAAGAAATGTGAAATGCATTACGCAAATCAAGTTTATTCTGGACTAAATTTGACGTACATAACCCTACTGCTACATGTGTGTTATGACAAAAAAGAACAACTGCTTTTTCTTCTTCTTTCTTGAAGTATTCACAATGTAGTGATAGCACAACAGCAGCAGCGGCAATACAGCTGCTTTGACAGCTGTTAGCGTGCACATAACCTCAATAGAGATATATTTAATTGTCAGGAAATTAAAATTAAAGCGAATAAGAAGAATGTATGGGGAGTGGAGGTATAAGAAATAATGAGTCAGAGAATATTTCACTCATATTATTATTGGACCCACTTCTTACATTTGTTTTAAATATGATTGGGGAAATGATTGTTTGGGAAAATAGTTTAGGGCCCCTTCGCGGATCGTTTTGAAATGTTTACAACATGTAGTCCTTGGGCCCTGATTACAATGGTATAGTTGTTTTTTTTTGCGGAAATATGGATGTTTGTGGGTGACCGGCATTCGGCCGGGGGTTTACAGATGATACAGAGACTGATCGTATTTTATGATTATGAATCCAAAACAAGATCCCTTCAACTGTGTGAATGTTTCATTCGGTCTAACTCGGTAACCGCGACGAGGTCTTTTCTCTTTCAAACCACTTTAAATGTTTTGAATAAAACAAATAAATAAAAAACTTCACTTACCATCTCCATACTTCTTCTTCCTCTTCGTCCTTCTTTTCTTTCTTTGTCCGTTTGGTGGGTGAAGCTGTCTCCGTTTTCACTGCAGCTGGCGCCGATTTTTTAGCCTTCTTCGGTTTGACCGCCTCAGTATAGTCATCTTCTTCCTTGACACGCTTCTTCTTCTTCTCCTTGGACTTTTCTTTTTTGGGTTTTTTACGTGCCAACAGCGGCACATCTTCATCATCCTCCTCATCTTCTTCGGCTTTGATTTTACGCTTGGCTAGCGGTATATCTTCTTCGTCATCTTCTTCATTCTCGTCGTGGTTTTCTTGATGTTGGTGATGGTTGTGTTGTTGTTTGGATTTACGAGCTGCCAATGGCATATCCTCATCATCATCATCTTCGTCATCATCCTCATTATTGTCATCATAGTTTTGTTCCTGTGATTCATCTTGTTCCATTTCTTGAGAATCTTCCTCCTCATTGTAGCTGGCCTCTTCTTTGGCCACAAAAGCCGGTTCGTCCTCTTTGAACTGTGACATGGAATAATCACATGAACTTGCTTGCGATACATCAAAAGGAGCATTCATTTCGTAATGTTCCTTTTGGTAGCCATTGTTGTAGCTACTATCGAGAGGATCTTGACTAAACATTTCCTGTTTGACTTCTTCTTTTTTAACGACATTTGTGGTGGTGGTGTCGTGCGAGTTTGTGTATGATGATGTTTCATGTTTGATTTCATGTTTCACCACATCTTCCATTTTAATGTCGGCCAAGACATTATTGAAACCGTTTTCTTGGGGCTGTGATAATGGTTCGGGTTTAACGAAACCATCCACATCATGTTTTGAAGAAGATTTCGACGATGAAGAAGAAGAACTGGAATGTTTATGTTTAGACGATGATGATGATGAGGAGGAAGAGGAGCTTTTATGATGGCGATCTTTGTCCTTATCGCGGGAAGAACTCGACGACGAAGATGAAGATTTGTGGTGACGATCTTTGTCTTTGCTTGATGATGAGCTGCTGCTAGAACGATCTTTGTCGCGTCGTTCTTTATCCTTGGAGGAACTTTTGTGTCCCGACGACGATGAGGATGATGAAGATGATTTGTGTTTATCGCGGTCGCTGCTGCTGCGTTCTTTGTCCTTTTCGCGATCCTTGTCACGATGACTCGATTTCGATGATGAACTACTGCTGCTATGTTTTTCATCGCGTTCCTTATCGCGATGTTTATCCTTGCCACTGCTGGATGATGAGGAGCTATGCTTCTCTTTATCACTGGAAACAGATTTAAAATTAGCTTTTTTGTCTTCTTAAGAGCTTTACTCAAGAAACTTACCGACTACTGCTTTTGTGACTGCTAGATGAAGAACTCTTGTGACGATCCTTATCCTTATCACGATGTTTGTCTTTACTGGATGATTTATGTTTACTGCTGCTACTGCTGTGGTGTCCGTTGCTCATGCCATTGACATGTACCTCGGCCGTGCCTCCATTTTGTGCCGGTGGCTGCTGTAAGTAAACGTAAATATAAAAAAATAATAAATACCTGATGATGATGATTCATGACAACAAAAACAAAACCACATTTTATTTTTGATATGTATTAATTCAATACGATATAAATTATGATGAAAAAATATCTAAAGACAAATACGTTTACGAAATTACAAAAAAAAAAAACACAAATCGAAACAAAGGATGTAAATAAAACCTCTACATAACTAAAATCTGTTGGAAACCTGTTTTTTTTTTTCTTTCGAATATGTTCGCCAAAAAGAGCAACGACATTTGAAGCGATTCATATTTCCTAAAACAAATGGAAAGCTACTGAGCAATTGTATTTCCGCCCCCTTCGAAAGTTTTCGTGCGTACCAGCCGCCCAGACAGGCATACGGCGGACGGACACTTATAAATCGACTCCCAATTGTATGAAACAGATTTGGTCCAAAGAAACATAGATTCCAAAACGAATATGTCGATGAGGTTAATTTTTGTTGACGATGTCACGCTGGGCCAAGGCGAACGCCCTTGGTGTAAACCCAACAAAGACACAACACTGGATGGAGTGCAGATTCATCTATCACCCGAAGCTAAATACCTTGGCTCAATCCTGGGCTATCAATTACGATGGAAAAGGAACGCTGTGGAACGGGCGAAGAGGGCTGTTTGCACTCTAGTTGAGGGCTAAAACCATCGACTATACACTGGTGTTGTATAACACCGTGGTAAGGCCCATCCTTTCCTATGGTTTGGTGGCTCTGCCTGCGCCACAAGTCGATATCAAGCAAACAAAGAGCCGCCTCGATTCTAATAACAGGAGCCACGAAGAAGAGCACCCCACAAGCAGCTCTGAACGCAGAGTCCCTAAGTTCAGGATGACTTAACGCTTCAGTATTAAGTGTCAGGCCGCGCATAGTGTCCTAAGGCTGCATGAATAAAATCTTTGGCGATGTTGTACCCCTTTGGGCATGGTTGTACCCTAAACGAACCAGGTATGACATTGGACCAACGCGTAAAACTAAGCTACTATATATCTGGAGCCCTGAGATATTACGGTGTAGATGTCGTCATTCCTAGTAGAGACGACTGGAACCGGAGTAACCCTCCTCTGGACGGTCTTTCGATACAGACAGATCCAAGATGTAAGAAGGTATAGAGCTGGTTACTGGTCTACTGTGAAAGGCTTGGCCTTGAGTTTACCTACAAAGCTGGATAGCAACTGTAGTGTTTTCCAAGCTGAAATCTTCGCGATTTTGGAAGGCAGCGGAATTGATAAAAAGTCTGGATGCAGATATCACGTTGAACCGGTCACTATCTTTGTAGATAGTCAAGCTTCTCTTAAAGCCACCAAATCTTGTTACATCAAATCTGAGGCCGTCCTCAAGTGTAGAACAGTTTTGGAAGAACTTACTTACAGCTATCTGCTGTGTTGGCTACCAGGACACCATGATATTATGGGTAATGAGAGAGCAGACGAATTAGCTAGACGAGGATCTCCATCTACAGATCTAGCAATTGATGGCTCAATCAAACCCCCGACTATGTCATCTTTATCGCAACTTTGAGACGTTCTTTGGCACAACGAACCCAGGTGCAATGTGTCAAGATCTATTTGGCCGACTCTGTCTACCAAAAGGACACACTCACTGCTGAACCTGTTGAGCAAAACTCTTATTTCAGAGTAATGACAGGAATCATTACTGGTCATTGCAATATCACACCTCCCAAAATTAAAAAACTTAAAATTAGCCTGGACAATTTATAGTAACTTACATGCTTGCCTAAGATATCTTCTCTAATATCATTCTTTTATTTTTTTTCTTTTTTCAAAAACCCATTTATGTTATTAATAGAACCTGCGAAAGAAACAAATTTTTGGGTGTAGCATGTGTTTTAAAAAGCACGTGATAGTTTTATCACCAATTTGTTTCACGTTGCCAAAAACTGCATTCCAATGAGAGAGTGTTTTAATTTTTAATAGCCTAGAAAGAAGCTTTTTGTAGCAGCCCATGTGCTTTTACACAACGGGCTTATCACCAATTTGCCAGTAAAAACTGCATTCCAATGAGAGAGTGTTTGGTTTTTGTACTAGGGTGTTTGTGGTGGTGGTTGGCACTGGTGTTGTTGTTGTTTAATAATCATTAAACTGCCTGCTCTGCTGGCTGGTTGTTGTTGAACAAAATTTTGACAACGTGTTTCAATTTTGAATCCACACGCCGCTATGAACAAAAAAAGAAACACGTGCACAGATCATCGTACCATGATGCCTAGACCGTTTAGTCACCCAATAATGGTGTTTTTGTACACACCCCATACGTAAATGCATTGAACTGGCATCGACTGGTTTTCGTTTTTCCTATGGTCGTCGTGGTAGACAGGCAGACATTCATTCACAAGTTGGAATTTGATATTTAGTTTCCTGTTTTTAGAGCTCGATGTAGTATCTTTGAAACATGTGAGTTTGTGCTGTTTTATCCCCCTGAGCATCATCATCTACGTACTTTTGTTTTAAGGGGTGGTTTATTTATCCTTTATTCATACCTACCTACCCATAAACGAAAATGTTTTTTTTTTCATATATTTTCGAAAGGATCTTTTTTGTGTGGCATTGATCTTCAAACTGGCTGGATACACACATGTTTTTTTTTTCTTCTAAATGAGGATTTACTTTTGAAAATATTTAACTTAGCAATGACTGACTGACTACAGGATTTTTTACCCGCATTGTTTTTGTTGCAATATGTAACATTTGTTCAATGACAAGAGAGGAGGGGATAGACCGTTCCCGGAATTAACCCTAAAATATAACATATGAATCCTCCACCATCGCTATGTGGAAAAATGTTTACCTGATATATTTCACAAACACTAATCGGAAAAAATTCTAAATAGACCCAACCAACCACTTTAGGTTTGTAATGATGCGGTAGATTAGAGCAGGTTCCGTTGTTGAAAAGAAACTAAGACTCGGTGGAAAGTGAGCACCCACTAGTCTGTGCCGTCTGTCGGACACAGGAGATGCTCAGTTGTCTCCGTCTCCTCGCCGTTGTCAATGCAGAGTCTACAGTAATCCGTGGTCCAATTTACTGGTAAATTCCCTCATGATAAGGCAATGACCAGTAATGATTCCTGTCATTACTCTTATTTCAGCTTTGCTCAGCGGGTTCAACAGTGAGTGTGTCCTTTTGGTAGACAGGGGTCGGCCAAATAGATCTTGACACATTGCACCTAGGTTCGTATCACCAACGTTCATAGGTTCTTTCGCCGAAGAACGCCTGAAAGTTCCGATAAATATGACATATGGTTGGTTTTATTTAGCCATCAATTGCTAGATCTGTAGATTGAGCTAATTCGTCTGCTCTTTCCTTACCCATGATGTCACGGTGTTCTGTTACCCCCAAACACAGCCGATAGCTGTGTTCTTCCCAAAACTGTTATACACTTGAGGACGGCCTCAGAAAAAAGTTTGTATATCTAAGTGAGGTCTTAATCCAAATTCAATTGCTGGTTATTACAATCCTTCTTTATTTTCTCTACCATATTTGTGTGTGTTTTTTTTTTTACAAAACCTTGACCTATATCATCGTATTTCTCCTTAATGTTTTCACTTGTATTAAAGATGGACGGCCCTCAAAAGAAAATCTCAAAACCAGCGAACACTTTCTATTTTACCACTTTATAATTTATAAATATATACACATGGTATTTTTAATTCCGCTACTGTTTCTTTGGTCTGATATGATGTATACATATGAATGTAAGTGCGTATGTTTGTTGTGAACCATCCATTCATCTATGCCCCCTTTAGTAACAACGAATTTTAACAACATAAAAAATGCTAAAGTAAATTTAGCAAACATAAAAATATGTGCCAAGTTTAAACAGTTTTTTTGCTTTTTGGCTAATTTTTCGCACCGTACGTAGGTACACAGCACCGCACACACTCTCACATATAATATTGTAAATCTTATGATCGCTCTTCCTCTGTTTTGTTGAAAATGAGAAGCTTTGCTTTTTTTGTTCGCTTGCTACTAATTTTTGCTAAACGTTATAAAATATCATCCACCTGCCCTGATATATTGGTGTGATATCGTAACGTTGTCGTTCGTATAAGTTAATGCGTTCAATTCTATTTTTTGTTTATTTTGTTGTTGTTTTTTTTTATTTCT